CATAAGATCTCCCCTTTCTAGCTTAAGTTTCTGTATTAAACACAGAATATTTGCTTAGTGAGTTCATATCAATTAATTTAGCTTGATTCACAATTATGTACCTCCAACCTTACCCCCTCCCCGCCCTAGACACGGTTTCTCTGTGTAGTTTTGGAGCCTGTCCTAGTACCCACTCTGTAGACCAAGTTGGTCTCGAACTCACAGAGATCCACCCGCCTCTGTCTCTCAAGTGCTAGGATTAAAGGTGTGTGCTACCACTGCCCAGTCATTCCTCCTGCCTTTATCCCACACTTCCACTGTCCACTTCCAAGTGTGTTTCCAGATTTATCTGTATAAATTAGAAAACTGGAATGGCTTTTGCTTTGGTTTCAGAGGGTAGTTTACTTCCTCCTGGGTCACAATTTGTACCTCACCTTGATGAGCCTGTGAAATAGTCAAGTTACAGCTACAGATAAAAAGAACTTATTTACAGACACACCCAGAAATAATGTTCACCAAACATCTGGGTACTACAAAGACATTCAAGTTGACACAAAGAGTTCCCCATCACCAATTGCTGGAGAAATGGCTCAGCAGTTAAAAGCATTCATCTTCCAGAGAACCTGTGGTTCCCATCACCCACATGGTGGCTTTTAACTGTAACTCCAACTTCAGGGGATCAGACACCCTCTACTGGTTTCTATGGACACTAGGCTCACATAAACACAGACTCAGACAAAATTAAAAGTAAAATAATCTTTAAAAGGAAACTGTTTGTTCTCTCCATATTTCCTGATCATTGGGAAGCCCCTGCACTGTGAATCTGGGCCTCTGACTTTTGTGCTTTGCCATATGTATTGTATCAATGTCCTGTGTGATAAACTTATGCAGTGATGGCTTCATTTGTCCAAAACTTTGTGTCAGACCTAGGTGCATGTTTCTGAAGTCAGCACAAGCTTTAATTTCATCTCTGCCATTAGACCCTGAGTGACAAAACTTTGTCACCAGTCAATTTCTTTGTCTGTGAAACACAAATCATAGTCCCTAGTTCGCTAAACAAGTTTTTATTTCAAGCTGAAACATTCAAGAGAGAACCAGGCATATCTAATGAGGTTTAACAGATGTTAAGTATTATTGATAAAAAGCAAAATTTGTCAACATGAATACACACTGAGTTTGGTTTAAACTGAATAACGAGACCTCCAACTCATCTTTTATGTCAATCACAAAATTTTTGCCAGAAAAATTATTGAATCAAACAAAACTGAAATATATATCAAAGAAAAACATTTAAGTGCCTTTGCCTAAGCATCATTAGGCTAATTTTAAAAGCTGGGATCCAGATTTGAAGAACTCATTGTTTTTATAACCTATAGAAGTATTTATAGCTGAGAAAGACTAATTGCAAACCACACTGCATCATACATTTTAATTTATTTTAATGAAATGTACAAGAGTTCATCTCCAGGTGAACTGTTTGTTGTGTGCACGTCTGTTCAGTTACTTCTAAGATCTTGCTTACAATTTGAATAGACTCTTCTTACTGACATAGAAAAAAATGTATGGTAACTGTTTTTCCTGTAGAAATGTTAGAAAAAAATAACAATGAACACTTCTTCCTACAAGTAAATCCTAGTCAAACAGTTGTCCTTGTTAGTTTCTGGCTATATCTCCATGGCTGTTTCTTCACAGACACACACACACACACACACACACACACACATAATATACACACAAGCACACTCACTCAAGCTCTAGACTCCGTGTGTGTGTGTGTGTGTGTGTGTGTGTGTGTGTGTAAGCATCTGTTGATCTTTCTATCTGTATCTCTTTCTGGCTTTCTCTCTTTAATTCTCTTATTCTGTTCTACCTCAGTCCACTTTTCTCATGCCCTTCTTTCTGAGTTAATATGCAAATAAAACAGTTCATTAATTTTCCAAGATAATGTTTATAAAAGGGATGAAACAAGAAAGAAAACTCAAGAGTTTATATGTGTAAAGAGAGTATGCCGACCACTACCAGCCGAGCAGTGCAAGTCACACAATGACCTGGGACATTGAATGGAAGCTTAAGTTGTGCTGTCCATGTGTTTATCTACATGGTTAGCAGTACTGGGGCTGAAGAGTGTTTTGTACCTGCTAGACAAGAGCCTTACTCCTGAGATACTTCCCAAGCCCTTTGCCTATTCTATTCTTTGAGACAGGGTCTCAACAAATTACCAAGTCTGCCTATACATGGAGTTAAAGGCCTACACCACTGGGTCTGATGGACATTTATCTGAGGTGAAATATAAGATGAAATATTCAGATGTTTGAGTGGTCATTTATTGGTGATCACCACCATGCTGCTATCATGGTAGGCCACAACAGTAGTACAATCAAGCCATTCTGTATATATAGAGAGAGAGTTCCATGTAGGGGGAAAAGAGGCCTCCTGCCCTTAGCCAGTACCAATTTGAAAGCCATGGGAGTTTGCTTTATGGGAAGGCCATTAGTCATCCCCAGTAAAGCCTTCATATGACAAGATCTCAAGCTGACATCCTGATGCAAGCACCCAAAAGAAGGTAAACCAGAATCCCTCAGCACCTGCCTTCAGACTCCTGACCCACAGGAGCCCTGCTAAGCATAAGTGTCCCTTAAGCCACAATTGTCAGGGGCCCATTGGTGTACATAAATAGAAAATTAATATGTGAGGAGCTGATCTCACCAAAACGATGCTACATATCTGTCTGTCTCTCTGTCTCTCTTTTCTCTCTCTCTGTCTCCCTCTCTCCACTTGCAGATCAAGATGTAGCTCTCAACTACTGCTCCAGCACGATGGTCCCCGCAATGATGATAATGAACTAAGACTCTGAAACTATAAGAAGCCCCAATTAAATGCTTTCATTTATAAGAGTTGCCTTGGTCAAGGTATCTCACTCAGCAATTGAAAAGAGACAAAGAGAGTTTGGGAAGCAGCCCCAGAAGTAAAGTGCTTCTCTGACCTTTTCCTGAACCCATCTTATTCTTAGACTCATTCTTAGTCTCCCTGCAGGTAAGCAGCAGAAATCAGAATCCTTCTTCCCAGGGTGAACCAGAATGCCTTCTTCCCAACACCGGCTACAAGCATTGAGGGAAACATGAAACTGAGTCAAATCCTCTGACTGCCCCACCTACAATGCTCTCAGTCACCAAGCACCTGTCTGTTTCCCAGACTTGTGTGGGAGCCTAGAAAGGTTAGCAGAGTCACGAGCAAGCAGATTTGAACTGACCACAGACATAAAAGAGACTCATTGAAATTGGCCACACAAATATAGCTTCACACTCAAGGTGACTCAAGTACACACAAAGTGCCAATGTTCCTGCTAGATAGGCAGGAAATGTCTAATCAATATAAAAGTGATATCTGCATGCAAATCAGGGACTTTGCTGTTGCCTAGGCAGGGGATTCATAAAGTGGAAACACATCTAGCCCTCACCTCTAGGAACCTATACAAAGAGTGGGCATTTTCTGCCATGCCCACAGTTCTCAGACATCAGCAGCAGCTGTCTGGATGCACTGCAGACCAGACCTTTCAGCTGCTTGAGTTGGTTAAAAATGCATTATCTCTTCACCAACAGGATCCTGAGAGCAGATAGAATAAAGGAGATTGCTCCAGCCGCACGATGAACTTGAAGTAATGAGGTCTATAAGTTGACTTGAACAGACGGAAATGATATTAAGCCTTCATGGAGGACAAATGAAAGTATCTACCTGTACCGTCTCTGACAGGCGGAGACCCTTTGCCATTTAAAACTCTGCTGCTGTGGTACATTATTCCCAGGCAGCTGAGAGTTTAATAAGACTTTGTGCAGACACCTCACCTGCCACTTCTGGATGCCTACTGGCAACCCTAAGGTTCTTTATGTAGAGGCTGACAATCTGGGCAAACATTGGGGCAATGGATTCCCCTAGACACGGGGACAGAGGCTGGCACAGTAACATCTGTCTGCTGCCTTCTCATGCATGCCAGTCCCAGAACGATCTGATTCACAGTCAGTCCCTACACTCAGCTTGGGTGTTTAACTCCAGACATACTGAATTTTCTGCACATAGAATGCTGCCCTTTGCTGGAATGTCAAGGGCTTCCTTGAACAAATATTGCCTGGTTTGTCCAGTCTTAACTCCCTTCACACCCTCTACCCTGCCCTCCACTTACTAAGGTTACTGACTGGCTCCCCTTTCTCTCACTGGTGGGCTACCGCCCTTCAGCAGCTTTCTTTTCTCCATCTTAGAGTCAAATCGCACCCTCCCTGCCTTTCTCTCTAGTGAGGAAAGTTGACAACAAGGCAGGCTGTGCCGCTCCCTCCCGCTAGCAGCTGAGAGCAAGCTCAGCTCCCACTCCTCAGACCAGGGACAACATGAAGTTACAGCCACTCTTTACCAGTGCCTTCCTGATTTCTGCCACACAGGATAGGCCAGACATCATCATGGGAATGAAACTAGACCACCCGTCTCAGTATCTGTGGTCAGAAGTCTTTGTCCTCTGGTCCTGAAGGGTCTGTCTGTCCTTCCAGAGCTTACTGTGTGACACCATGCCACTGCTTCTTCCAGGGCTCTTCCTCTTCAAGGCATGCTCATGGTTGTCCATGGTTTGAGGCTCTCACCTAATAAAGCTCATTCTAAGGGTAATGTTGTGAGAGCTCTTTTCTGTGAACCTACATTAAATCTCTAACACTCACCTCCATGTTGGTCGGTGGCTTTCATCTTGTTCAGGTGGCCCACCATCTTACCTTAAATACAGACGTCCACTGGCACTAGTCTTGGAACCTCGAGGAACGATGCACATCTCACTCCTCTACAGCACAGGATATTTCACACAAAGCAAAGCTAATTTCTCTTGCTGTGTTTTCAGTTACATGTTCCCAACCTCACCTATAGAGACACCGAGTCAACAGAGAAGTGTCCAGGACTCTGATATTCCAAAGTTCCAGAGACTCTGCTGTTTGGGAACCATGTTGAATAATAATACCTGTTTCCGATACAATGAGACAACGGACATCTTTGTCCTTTAAGAATTTTATTATATGATTATATCTTAAATATTTTCTTATAACTTAAAATATCCAGACATCTACAAAGCCACATTCTACATGTGTTACATTTCAGTTCTCTCTGAGACTGGTAACAGAATGGGCAGCCATTTTAATAGTCACATTTGAAGAAAGGCATAAATACTTATTGTACAGCATCTGTTAATGAGATAAGTTTAACAAAGGATTCTAAAATCAAAGCAAACAAAAATATCTACAAGTACAAACATCAGGATTTTTAAATATAAAATTCTAACACCTAACTTAAATGTCACTTGATAGGCTCCCAAGGCTGTGGACAAAGGATAAATTTATAATAAATGTTTATTTTGTTTGCTTATTTAACTAAAAATTTTTAAGTGTTTTACAGGAAAATATAAAGATTGCTAGTGTTTTTATAATTAACTTTTGGAAATAACTGATTAATGTCCTAAAATTCAGATATTAGGGCATCTATCTTTTTAAAATTGTTAGTAATGTTCTCCGTACATTCTCCAGCTTTTATTCCTGTCCCATCTGTCACCATACAGTCCTCTTCCTGGTGGCTCTGAAACGGACTGTCTGTGGGAGCTTCCAGGTGGCACCGAGATAGCTGCAAAGAGAATCATACAGTTCATCACAGCTGCAGAGGTCTGCTACACGTCTCATCACAGCTGCAGCAGACCCCCTCGGTTACTGAGGAGGTTAGTTCTCCTCCAGCAGAGCAGTGCACACAGTTTTCTTTGTAGGTGTCAGGTGATATGCTCTGCATGTACTATGAAGTCTATTAAACATGTTTGTGTAAGGCTAAGCTGTTGCTTAGGTTCTGTCTCTCTTATATTTGTTAGTCTATACTTTGGGACAGAATGATCATACTAAACCTAAATTTTCTCTATTGGTTTGTTTTTTTGTAAAAAAAAATATCATATGGGATACATATTAAAATAGTTTCAATTACACATTCTGTTGTCAGTCTTTTGTGAATATCTTCATTACCCACAAAAAGTCCTTTCTGTAGCTTAGATGGGAAGGGTAGTAGGAAACATTCTGCCCACACACATACTAACATGAGTTTCAGTTTCAAGGTTCACTACAGCTAGACCAACATCTCATGTAATTGGAAGATGAGAATATACATGTAGTTCCAAATATAATATGTAGCTTTAATCCAAATAATTATATAGTAAACCTCCTTATTTGCATATGAACTATCCATTGAAAATGAGGTGGATTTATAAAAATTTGATTAATTTCTCCATGTTGTCAAGTCAGACATGGATAGTAAACAGTGCTAATACTGGATAAAGAAGAGTGTGCTTGGGAAGAGGGTTCAGAGGAGGATACTCATCTGGCAGAGCACATAGGAAAGAGTTTTTGATTGTGGTGTATGCTTCATTGCTAGCACCAGTGCTTAGGAAATCATCAGAAATCTGACAGGCAGCAATGAAGAAAACTGCAAATTTACACCTCTGAAAAGGACTCACACAGTATCTGCTCAGAGACAGCATAGTCTGGACACTGGAGTTATCTGCTGACTTTCTTTGGTGTGTTTAGCTTCTAAATATTTATATATACACACATATTTATATCACCATACATACATGCATATAACACACCTCCAGTTTTAAGTAATATTAATTCTTTACAGAAACAATAAAAAGAAAAAACATTCCAGTGGTGTGTGGAATCATTACTTTTGAGAAAGAACAACACGTGTCCATAGGGCTCTATCTTGCTTTGGCCCCTTCCTGCATTCTCTTCCCTCTGCATCCTGTCTCACCAGGATATAAAGAGCTTTGCACCATGACTCCCTGCTATGATGACTTACTCTCCTTTAGTCATTTCTGTCAGGTATGGTCACAATGGCAAATACAGGGTCTCTCTACAATGGTCCACCTCAGCCACAGGACGACTCTTCATCCTCCATCCTAATCCGAAGACTGAAAATTAACGACCACCTCTGCTTACACACACATTTCTCCTAGGAAAGCCTATATTCTGAAGGCTCAACAGCTACTGGTTTGTTAGCGTCGTGGCAATCAATGCCTCAAATTTCAAATGTAGGAAAAGGTATCTTATAAAATTAAACTGTATAGTCAGTTACAGACCCTGAAGCTGCCAAATGGTAACTCTTCATACCAACCTGTTCTTGTCCTGGTTCATCGGCTCTTGCTGTGGGCTCTTGAACCTGCTGCAGCATTTTCTCCAGTTCTTTCAGTAAACCTTCTGTCTCAGAGACAACTGAAGGAAATTATGAATATAGTAAAGGCTACATCTTTAATTAATTCCATCTAGTTCAAAATCTTAACTACCCTGAAATAACTCTTCTAAATACTACAGGATTAAAAATAAAAAGCAAACGTTCATAGTTTTAAAATTTTTAGCTTTAGTTAACTTAAAAATTACAGATTTCTTTATGGCTTTTTTTTACATACTTAGTTTCTGTTATCATATGTTTTTTATATATGACCTCTGCTTGTTGCAAAATTCTATTATGAATTTCCAGGTGAAATTTTTAAAATTCTTTGAAAGGGATAGGTAATTTTCTTGATATGTATAGAGTATAAAATATCTTTGGAATATAAGAAGCTCATTAGAAGTAGCTGCATGTTTTGTTTTAATTGGGTCCCAGGCACCAGACTCAATTATGTTTGAAAAGCAGATATTATAACCAAGAGCAATGGACAGTTGATAGAGGGGTCAGTTTCTTTTAAGGGGTGTGGCCCCATAGGCCCACCACATTCCTGGAAATGGCCCCCCACCCACCAGCATTTGGAGTGGACGACTGGATTATTAGAAAACGACACAGTCAGGAGAGTAAGGACATGGGGAGTGTGGTGGTGAAGATGACCAAACACCTCCCCTCATGGGTGACATTAAAACTGATGCTTAACAGGAAAAGTCACACAGCTGAGTGGCTGGGCCCAATGCAGGCTCATCCTTCTTTTCCACTTTCCTGTGCGTGGGGCCCTCTGAGGGAGAGAGTGCCTCGCTAGGGTGAGCATGCACTCCCTGTGGGTGCTTGTGGAGGTCTGACATTCCTGTCAAGAGTCATCTTCCACTGCTCTTTTACTGTCTTCATTCATTCACTTGGAGGAGGAAGGCTCCCTCAAGTCAAACCCAGAGCTCCCTGACAGGGCTACTCTTACTAGCCAGTTTGATGCCCACTGACAATATTCATGGTTTCTTGGGATCCCTTTGGTCCTCACACTTGCATGACAATTAACCACTGAGCCATTGCCAGAACCCCACAAATTCATCCAATCCTAATCCAAATATGTAAATTGCTTAGTCTGATTTCAACCAGAAAACATTATGCTTATAAATGCCTTTTTTGCTGTGAAATAAGTGGAAAAGTGTTTAATGTTTTGTTGAACATACTGAGATAAAAATAATGTCTATCTTTACCACTTAAGAAAGACAGCCTAGAATAAAGATAGAATTGAATCCTGATGAACAATATGCATTTGAATTCTCCACTTAAATAAACAGCATTTTTACTTGACACAGAGTCTTGCTGAAGCAAAGATCAAAGCAAATAGCACACAAGTAGCTTGCTGTTTGTAGCTTGCAGAGACAGATGAGACATCTGAGAAGCCTGTGGAAAGACAGCAAACCAGGAGGGGATGCCATGTCCCTCCACTTCCACTCTGATCCCTGCGTCTGACATACCCCCTTCCATTTTCTGCCATCTTGACAGATCACCAACAGTCACACCGCCCAGCACAGCTGGAAGTTCAAGGAACATTTAAATGTACCCAGGCAGGACATAAGAAAGGGAATTTTAAATACTGATAAAGTACTATTTTGTTTTGTTTTTCCAGGCACAGTTTCTGTGTAACAGCCCTGGCTGTCCTGGAATTCTCTCTGTAGACCAGGCTGGCCTCGAACTCACAGAGATCCATGATAAAGCACTATTACTAGCAGTATTAACTGAAATCATGGCAGTTAGGGAATGAAAAATCTTCCTATGGCTGCTGTTAAAATGAAGGGAAAAAAAAGTTCCCTTTTGCATTTCCCACATTTCAATCTGCAGCAATATGCCAGCCAGCATCTCTGCATTCAAACAGCACACTCCTACCATGTGTCTGCTGTGGGGCAGGAACTCAGGGAAGTCAGGCTAGACCAGGAGCCTCCTCACTGTGACTCTGCCCAGCCAGCCTCAGGCTAGACCAGGAGCCTCCTCACTGTGACTCTGCCCAGCCAGCCTCAGGCTGACCAGTCACAACTAGTCTTGAAACAACCTGAAAAAAAGTTTCTCCCACCTCAGGAGTGAGTTCTCTGCTTCATAGCAAAACAAACAAAAACTGCAACTGACTTGTTGGTGACCACCCCAAACCACCTGTTTTCTTTAGGAATCTCTGAAGACAACAGAATAGTCCATTCTGGTTCAGGAGTACTCAAGAGTGTGGTGGACCTAAGAATCACCTGGGCAATTCATTTTAAAACATGGATGCACCATGTCTACTGAACTCGAACTTTCTAGAGAAATATATGCTCCTACTGAAGCTTTTTGAATGAAATTAACATTCAACTTTAGTATATATTTTTTCATTTATATTTGTGTGTGTGTGTGTGCATGTGCACATGCATGTATGTTCACAGGTGCACTCAAGAACACAAGTGCAGATACATAAGTGCCATAGCATGCATGTAGAGGTCAGAGGACAGCCTGCAGGAGGAGCTTCTCTCCTGCCTGCTTGAAGCAGGGTCTGCACTGCAGTTTAGCATGCAGCATACTCTAGACTAGCCTCTGTCTCCTGCCTGCACCTCCCTCCTCTCAGTAGCAATGTGTGACTCCTGTTGTGCACCACCTCAAGCAGCTTTCATGTGCATTCTGGGAACTCAACTCATGTTGCTAGGCTTGAGCCACAAGTGCTTCTGCCACTGGGGCCACCTCCACAGCTCCAGTGTGGGTATCTCTTTTCTGTTACCTGTTAACTCATGGGTAACTGTTTGTGGTGATTCTCAGGCTGATCCTCCAGTTCCCCTTACACTTTTTTTTCCTACTTTACTTTGCAAATCTTTGGAAACTGACATTGAAAAGATGGATTTTGAGCTCTGCTATTAAAAAAAATGCCAAACATCTTCACATTTCTAACATTAGGCTAAAGCACACTAAGGTTATGATGAGATGTGTCACTGCCAAGTTCACTGGAATCTCTGTTTGAAACCAATCTGAAAAAGTGTCTGCACTGCTTTTTGATCAAAGGGTAGACAGAGTAATGGAGGGCTTCATCAACTGGCCAGGACTCTTAACAGCTTGACTGATGTTGATGTCTGCTTCCAGAGCTACAGGAGGCTTGCTTGTCTAAAAGTTTTCCTATATTGTAAGTTGAAATTCAAAAACAATTCTCAAGAAATGGCAGTTCCTGTAATCTACAGACTCAGTTATCAGAATTGGTCAATGATATCCTCCAAGGCTGGGGACAGAATGAATGCCTTTTCTGACTGTACAGCCAATCATCTCCTATCTGTGATGATTATCCTGTAGTTTCTTGACTTGTTTCAATTCACTGTTAAGAGTAGAAAGGGAGAAGGAGGAAAATGAGCATGGGGGAGGGAAGAAGAAAGAAAGAAGGAGGGAGGGAAGGAGGGAGACAGAGAGAGAGAGAGAGAGAGAGAGAGAGAGAGAGAGAGAGAGAGAGAAATACATAACATCTCAGGCAGGAAGACAAACAATTGAGGCCAAGAATGGGGCACAGGTTACCTCCTCGTAATGAAAGAAGAACTGGCCCCACCCTCACTGGAAGCCACTGTGGCAGAGGCTCCCTTGTACTTTGTCCTTTGAAAGGTCATTTCTCTTCCCTTTGCTTGACATCTTCCAAAGAGAAGCTCCACCGAAATGACTAAATAGGCAAAGACTTGCTGGCTCTGGAGAAAATATAAGGATTGTATGTCCACAATTAAGGTGTTAGCTATTAAATAATCTATCTACATTTACAGAACCTAGAAGGCCTGGTTCCTTCAGATTATACAAGACTATGAAAAGATCCTCCTTGTTCTTTGGTTCTATGAATCAAATAACACAAAACATGTCACTTGCTATGAGGCGTAATTTGAAGAAAAGAATGACTGTCTAATGAGGAACAGGAAGTAGCCCCAGAAGGCCAAGGACCAGTGATACACCAGCTGGAGAAGAAAAGGAGACATGTGCCCTTGAACTACAGAGGACACTCAGCATCATAAGATAGCCCTCACAGGAGCACACTGTTCTGTCTTCCTTCCCCCCTGTAATAAAAGCTCTGTGGATAGCTGAGCTCTACGTGGGTGGTTTGATGCTGGCATACCCTTTATATTCATGAATTGGCCCTTGAATAAATGTGATTTATTTCCCACCAGCTCTCCTTTCTGAAGAATTGGCTTTCAAGCAATCATCACTGAACATGAGACCCATAATACCATTAAGAAATGGGATACGGATGCGTGGAAAGAGACTGCTCTAAGTGCTAGCCTCTGGACCAAACTGCTGCCATCTTCATGAGTTCATCATGCCTTCTTGTAAGAGTCTATCATGATGAAGTCTGTTGGCTGGTACTCCCTTTGGGAAGATGGGGTGGGAAGGGTCACTGAACTTTGAGTGGCCAGGTATTTCTGTACAATGCTGCCCTAACTACACAAGGTCTTGGGATCTCAGGCTAGAGTATTTAGGGTAGGGAAATACTGGGAGAAGCTGAGCTCTATCTCTGCAGCTATGGAAATGCCATCAACCATATTCAGTGAACTGTCCAGTATGACAGCTTTGGGGTCGCCCATGTTCCTATTAGTAACGCCTTCCCCATGCTCTGTAAGTAAGCACAGCAAACACGTATGGTCCCAGGATGAACCATACTTTGGAGGAGGGAGCAGCACTGCTCACATCACATCCTGGCCCAAGGGAAGGAAACAGTAAGGATCCACAGAAATATTGACAGAAATTAAAAAGCTTGAAAAGTTTTGTTATTCCTTGCTTGCTATTGGGTGTTTATTTATTTATTTTTATTTGTTGAGATTTTTGTACAATGTGTTTTGATAAAATTCCATTGCCTTCCCCACTCCTTTCAAGTCTATCCCACCTTTCTACCCACTCAACTTTGCCTCCCCTCTTTCTCTTTAACCAACTGCTACGCATACACTTTGGTATGTATGGCCTTCACTGGAGGGTGGTATCTACCCACCCTGGCCTTACCCTTAAAGAAAGCTGACTCTCCCCCCACAGTTGTCAGCTGTTATAGCTCCTTAGCTAGGAGTGTGACATCATG